TCCCAACATCACAACGCCAAACCCTTCTGGGCTCAGTTCACAGAGTACCGGGCTCTGGACACCCAGGCAGCAAACGGACCCTCTCGCTCCTCCAAGCCCGGTACTGGTGGCCCAGTATGGCCCGGGATGTCACCAGGTACGTCCGAAGCTCTGCTCAGTGTGTGCCATGTCTCAAACTCCTTGTCATTTTCCCGTAGGCAAGCTTGTCCCGCTGCCCATACCACGGAGACCCTAGTCCTACATAGGAGTGGATTTCGTGACTGACCTACCCATCTCCGACGGAAACACCTGTATCCTCGTAGTAGTCAACCGTTGCCCTAAGGCCTGTAAATTTATGCCCCTCAAAGGTTTGCCAATGGCACTAGAAACTGCAGAGTGCTTATTTACCCATGTTTTCCGGAACTACGGCATCCTGGAAGATGTGGTCTCAGACCGGGGTCCCCAGTTCATCTCCTGTGTATGGAAAGCTGACTCATGGGAGTGACCGTGAGCTTGTCCTCCGGATACCATCCTCAAACGAACGGCCAGACTGAGCGGAGGATCCAGGAGCTTGGGCGTTACCTCCGGTCATACTGCCATGGAGATCAGCACAGCTGGAGCTGCTTCCTCCCCTGGGCCGAGTATGCACAAAACTCCCTCCGACAGAACACCACCGGCCTGACCCCCTTCCAGTGCATACTCTGCTACCAACCCCCGCTCTTCCCATGGACGGAAGAGCCCTCGGAGGTTCCAGATGTGGACTACTGGTTCCGGGCGAGCGAGAGAGTGTGGGACTCATCTCACGTCCACCTCCAGCGAGCAGTGGGGAGGCATAAGGCCTTTGCAGATGCCCGGCGCACCTCTACTCCTCACCACCAGAGGTCACCCGCTCACCACATGGACTCTCACACTACACAGACTGTTAAACTATACCCTGGACTACATTTCCCATCATCCATTGCACTGATTACACCCACAGCTGTAACCAATCACACACCCTACATAAGCCATGGACTTCCTCTCTCTCACTGCCGAGTATTGTTAGCACATATCACTGTTTATTGATAGCAACTTTACGGAGCCTGTTTCTTGATTACCTGTTTCTAGTCTAGCCTAGTTAGGCTGTCTTTGTTTTGACTTCCTGTGTCTCGATTAGCTCCCGTATTTGGATTACCCTCTTGTCTTGCCTTTCTGGATATTGTCTGCCCCACGCCTGGACTCTAGCCAGTGTTTGGATTATTCTCTCGCCTAGCCCTCTGGATATTGTCCGCCGCTGTGCTGACTCTCGCCCGTCTTTGGAACATTCTCTTGTCTTGCCCTGCTCATATCTGTATGTTGTATTTTGACCCGTGCCTGTTAATGACCAAGACTTTGTTTGAATTAATGCCTGCAAATGGATCCGAATATCTCTTAGTCTGTTCACTCTGTTACAAACACCGATGCTACAAAATGTGTAGAAGACATTGGAAAAATATCATCATGTTAATTTTATGTTTACTGCATTGTCCCCATTAAATTAGGGAAAGTCATTAAATTTGAAGCAAAAAAAAAGATGTCAAACATGTATTTACAGACGTTAAACATTGAATGGGGTCAAATTGACCCCTAGGATAATAGGAGGGTTAAGAGCCAAGATACATCGTTATCGGGAAACCTGGCCCAGGGCTGTGTTTCCCAAAAGCATTGTTTAATATCTATGTTTAATACATCCTAACCTTGTGTCTCTGGCTCATAGTGTGACACATATACTGTAGAAAACATTTCATATTGCACAAGAAATGACAGAAACTTAATGAATATCCATTGATCCACTGAACAATAATCATATTACCTGACTGTTCTGGCAAGATAATTGGGACAGAAATGGGGGGCTTTGCAAACCTCATCTCCTTCAGTGCAAGTCTCCTCTCCTCTAAAGCCAGCTTGGCCTTCTTGAAGTCAATGAGCTGCTGTTGAAAATTGTTGTTCCTCTTGAAGACTAAGAGCCTTATTAGCCTCTTTAAGACATTATCTAATGTCTTTCAAACTGCTGAGGTGTTGTGGCTGTGGTCTGGACAACTGATGATGGAGGCTGAGGCCTGAGAGGGCTGTTTGGAGTACTAGGAGATGGTAGGTGCTGGGAGATGGCAGGTGAAACTGATAGTTCCTCTGAGCATGAAGGACCTGACTCAGGCTCAGGTTGAGGCATCCCTACTTCTCCATGGAGGTCAGTACCACCACAAAAGCCATCTGAAGTATTGACAAGGCCTTTTATTCCTCTGCTGTGAGAAGGGGGGAGTCATTGGTCCAATTACCTGTTTTTTTAATTGCCATACTCTGCAGTGCCCTCTTCCATTTTGCCAGGATTGCAAAGTCCTGCCACTTCTTACGGACCTCCTTCCCTGATCTCTTAACACACCTGGTTGCAGTTAATTCTGTAGCAAAGTCCTCCCATGTGTTTTGTTTTTCCTTATTTGTATGGTGTCCTTTAAATCTGCTGAAAATGACATCTTAGTTTCGCTCCACCTCCTCCAGAAGAACATACATTTTATCTTTATGAAAAAAAAAAAAAAATTTCTAATCCACATCAGGTGACGACTATGAGGTTCAAGGATACAATTCTATAAGTTAATATTTCAGCACTTGAAAAATGGACGGCGACACTTAAGTAGCACATAGAAAGCGTTTTTGCGTGTTCATTTTAAGTGCATTTTTGGGAAACGCACGTGGAATTGCGGCGAGCGTTCGTAACCTTGCACGTAGAGAGTGCTCTTAAGAGCTAAGATCCATCGTTATTGGGAAACCCGGCCCAGGTCAGTCCCGGGAAAGGCAAGAAAACTGTGACTTTAGCCGTGTTCTGATTTCTGTGTGGATTTTTTTTCGTGGCATCACCGAAATTTCAAGAACAGCCTATTTTTTGTTACTCAATACTCTGCCAAGATAACCAGCTTATTTTAAGGTCATTTTATGCCTGATACGTGTCAAAATAATTCAGTCTTTGGATGCTGATCATGATTCTGATGCTTCGGGTTGATGAATTCCTATCTGACATGAAGCGCGCTGCTGTGAACGTATCTGCATCGATGCGAAAAAACACAATACATATCATTACTGTTTTATTGTAGGCTAAAATAACTCTTATTATGTATTAATAAAAAAGTTTCGTATGTCCTACGGAAGCAAAGCACTTGCGTCTGATGTTTCAGTTTCGTTTTTTAGAAAAAGAATATGCATGAATGAGAAATTAAAGTGCAGGACGTGCTTGATGTTAAAAGAGTTATTAATCGTAATAAGACAAAAAAAGATCTCAATGCGTTACTCCCACTGACTGACACATACCTGAAGCACGCACAGAAATACGCGTCTCTCAGACATGCGATCACGCGCATTGCAGAGCTAGTGCAAGATGAACATTTGTGGTTAAAAAGTATATACATTTTTATTTTTTAGAAAATGACCGATCGTTGAGCTAGGTAAGACCCTTATTCCTCTGCTGGGATTGTGTAGAGCCCTTTAAAGCTGCATTGAAACTTCAGTCTGGACATTCAAGCCACTTGGTCCCATTGAAGTCCACTATATGGAGAAAAATCCTGGAATGTTTTCCTCAAAAACCTTAATTTC